GGAACAACGGGGTGCGATTCGTAAATTGTTATTGGCTTATTCGGATGTGTTTAGCTCCGACGATTTGGATTTAGGACGCACCTCGTTGCTTTACCATCATATTGACACAGGGGACGCTGCCCCTATTCGGTTGAACTCGCACCGGATGAGTCCGGCCAAACGAGAACATGTTCGGGGGGCAGTGGATAACATGTTGGCTGCGGACATAATATCTCCATCTAACAGCCCATGGGGCGCGCCTGTTGTTTTGGTCAAGAAAAAGGACGGCAAAATGCGATTTTGTGTTGATTTCCGGAAATTGAATAAAATATCGGTGGCAGATGCGTATCCCCTGCCGCGTATGGACGACTCCCTCGATGCCTTGTCAGGGGCCAAGTTCTTTTCGACACTAGATCTCTCTTCGGGATTCTGGCAGCTCCCCCTTGACGAGCCCTCACGGGAGAAACTGCATTTCGTACGTCGCAGGGGTTGTTTCAGTTTAATTGTCTCCCGATGGGGCTGAACGCGGCCCCTGCCACATTTCAAAGGTTGATGGAACTGGTGTTAACGGGGTTGCAGAGGGAGACATGTCTCATATATTTGGATGACATTATCGTCTTCAGCCGCACATTTGATGAACATTTACGGCGGTTGGAGTCGGTGTTCACAAGGATGCGTTCCGCGAATTTGAAATTTAAACCTAAGAAATGTCACCTACTGCAACGGTCCGTCCGTTATTTGGGGCATATTGTGAGTGCGGATGGGGTTGCTACGGATCCGGAGAAAACAGCGTGCGTCCGGGATTGGCCAACCCCGGCCACTGTGGGGGATGTACATCGCTTTTTGGGATTTGCCTCATATTATCGGAGATTTGTTCCGAATTTTGCGACGATCGCGAGGCCCTTGCACCTCCTTATGGGTAAGGGATGAAAATTTGGTTGGGGACCGCCGGAAGAGGCGGCTTTTCAGGGCCTGCGCGATCTACTGGCAACGGCGCCGACGTTGGATTATCCGGATTTCGATCACCCCTTCATTCTTGATACGGACGCGAGTGACACAGGCATTGGCGCGGTGTTGTCTCAGTCTAAGGGAGGTGTGGAGCGCGTGTTGGCGTATGGTAGTCGGGTTTTGTCTCCCGCGGAAACCCGCTACTGCGTTACTCGCAGGGAACTTTTGGCTGTTGTTTTTTTTCTACGCCAATTTCGACCGTACCTATACGGTCGTTCGTTTATTGTACGCTCGGATCATGCGGCCTTGCAGTATGCTCTTAAAATGGACCAGCCATCCGGCCAGTTGGCGCGTTGGTTGGACACGCTGCAATAATTTTCCTTCCAAATTCACCATCGGAAGGGGGTGCGCCACGCCAATGCGGACGCACTTTCAAGATTGCCGCAGCGCTCCCCTTGCGCGTGCGCGTCGGGGACGCATAGGTGTGCGCTGATTCAATCTCCCCCTCAGCCGGTTGCGCTGGCTGTCGAGATGCCGGATGCTCCGATGGAGCCGGGTCCGACTGATGGGGTTTTGAATCTGCCATGGTCTGTGTGGATTCGGGAGCAAATGTTGGATGATTCGTTGTTGTCCTTACGGAAGCGGTCTGCGGGGGAGAAGGGGAGTCCGAGTACGGGTGGGGTGCTGGAAACCGCTCTCCGGGATGGTCTGCTCATGTGGCGGGAAGGCGTCCAGGAACGCTGGCGTCTGGTAGTGCCGGCGTCCTTGCGATACGAATTGATCCGAACTCTCCATTGTGACACGCTCTTACATCTGGGTGTTCAAAATACCTTATTGACGTTGCAACGTCATTATTTTTGGCATGGCATGGCGACAGATGTCGTCGGGCACGTGCGTGCGTGTCCAGATTGTGCCCGGCAAAAGCCACCTAAACATCCTCATGTGCCGCCGATACAGTCCATTCAGGTGTCTCGAGTTAATGAATTGGTGGCACTGGACATTTTGGGACCCTTCCCACCATCTGCGAGGGGTAATAAATATTTGCTGGTTGGGGTGGAATACCTCTCCCATTGGCCGATGGCCTGGCCGTTGCCCGACCAATCGGCCGCGGCTATTACCGACGCCTTTCTGTTTGGGTACGTTATGGACAAGGGTGCGCCGGAGAGACTCCTCACAGACCAGGGCCGAAATTTTTCTTCTAAATTATTGGCGGAAGTGTGCGCAGCTCTTGGGACTAAGAAAATACGGACATCTCCATACCATCCGCAAACGGATGGTATGGTCGAACGGCTAAATCGGACCTTGTCCGCCATGTTGTGCCACACGGTGAGTGAACAACAATCGGATTGGGATTTGCACATCCCTGGGGTGCTTTCGGCGTACCGGATGACGCCGCATGCGGCTACAGGATATTCGCCGTTTTTCCTGATGTATGGTCGGGAAAACGTGCCACCGATGGATGTGCAGTTGGGAACGGGGGTGAGGGGACCTGGTAAGCCACTTCCAGATTACATCCGAGACACCGTTCGCCGGGTCACGGAGGCGCGGGAGGGGGCCCGCGTGGCTACGGCCAAAGCTCAGGCCCGGAACGAGCGGTATGCTCGGCGCTCTAAGGGGGAGTGCCCCTGGAAGGTTGGGGACCTGGCCTGGCTCCATTGTCCGCAAGTGCGGCCAGGTACCTCACCTAAGTTGCACAAGCCATGGCAAGGGCCCGTCCGCCTCATTGAGGTTCCCAACCCGCAGTCGGCACGTGTTGGATCTCGTCGCTGGTTCGTTCACATGTCGCGTTTGAAACCATATGTTGCTCCTCTACCTGATGCGTCATCTCCTGATGTTGCCTTGCCGGGGTCTGTTGCTGCCGACTCACCCTTGCCTGCGTCAGTTGATCTTGCAAGAGCGCCTGTCGTGCCTGTTGCAGACAGACCGGCCGTGACGCCGCAGATGAGGAGGGGCTCTGCTCGGGGGGTGCCTGCCAGGACTGCGGGAACTCCGAGCCTCGCAGCCCTTTCGACCCCGCTGCCAGCACAATCGCAGGACACCTCCGTGGCTGAGCCGTCGGGTACACGGGACCGGGACGCTGGTGGGCCTCCGACAGCGACAGGAGGATTGTGGCCTGTTGCTCTTAAGACCCCATCACGCTCCCGCTCTGCGGGAGGGCCGCCGACCGTCCGGGACGGGCCGGCGACCCGCACACGTTCTAAATCTCTCACGTTTCGTTAATTGTTCATGTTGTGTTATTGTTCTTGCTGTTATATTTATTGCATGCTTTGTGTCCTTTGATGTGTCTGGGTCGGTTTCACTCGTTACTTGTTCATGTGGTGTTGTTGTTCTTACTGTTATATTTATTGCATGCTTCGTGTCCTTAGGTGTGTCTGGGTCAGTTACGCTCGCATTACTTGTCAGAGGTTTTGTTCAGCCGAGGACGGCTGGGTTTTCTGTACGGGGGAGGGTGGTGTAATGTGGGCGTAAATGACCTTCCGGATGTGACGTCACGAGGGGGAAGAGTTACGTCACGTGGGGGTAAGGGTTCAGGTCTTAAAGGGGAGAAACCGGAAGAGGATGGGAGTGATCGAGGACTGAGCTTGAGTGGGGCCACGCAGGGCGAGAGCTGGGGGTGGCGAGATCGCCACACACGCACAGAGTACGGTCGGCACCGTTGGCCAGCGGTGACCGACCCCGAAGGAACCAGGAGCAGCCGAGGGGGCTGTAACGAGAGCAGCCGGGGCGGCTGCCCGAGAGGACCAGCAGCGGGGCTGCCTACGAGAGGGAGAGACAGCAGCCGGAGAGGCTGCCCGAAGAGTCCAGCAGCGGGGCTGCTGGAGAAAGGAGAGAGAGGCTACAGCAGCGACAACAGCGTCGGCTGCAGAGCGGAGAGTCTATGCGAGAGAGCCGTGTGGGGAAAGAGGAGGCGAACCCGAATAAAGGACACCAAGCCAGATACCGTAGTCGAGTCCTTTATTACACATTGTAATATTACACTATGTATGATTGTACCCACCCTAATGTATAGCACACTGCTGTATATTGACTATTGGCCATACAGCAGTGTGATATACATTAGGGTGGGTAGAATAATACATAGTGTAATATTACAATGTATAGCAATACAGTATGTAATTTAATGTTGGGTTTGTCTATGGCAGTATATAGTACGGTGTAGACTCTCAGCCGTGGCAGATGTAAGAGAATACAGTTTAGATGGAAGCATATTATATATTTTTTACGACGTAGAATTGTAATGTATTACTTACTGTTAGTAACTCAGCTTATTGTAGAGTATATTTAGTTTACTGATGATACTATGTAGTTTATACATAGTATCATCTATGTTTACGTGGTGGTTTTAGTTACTGCAGCTACATACTATTAACACTCCTTCCCTTTATTAATGCTACCCCTATCCCCTCCCTTTGATGCTGATAATCCTTCATAATGCACGGGCATAAATAGTACTATTCACATACCTGCATTTCCCATATCCCCTCCCTTTGATGCTGCTAATCCTGCATAATGCACGGGCAGAAGTAGTACTAATCACATACCTTCATTTCCCATATCCCTTCCCTTTGATGCTGCTAACCCTGCATAATGCACGGGCATAAGTAGTACTAATCACATACCTGCATTTCCCATAAATATGCTAAATTCCTCTTGATATGCATATTCTTTCGTCAAGGCGCCCTTTTCCCCCCTTCCAACCCAGCTTATATATATGCTCCAAGCACGTGTGCTGTTTCATTCAGACGCTGTCGCCTCGACAGACCTGGTTTTCACCTGAGGACGGCTGCTTGCATTGTGGCCGAAACGTCGTGAAAATTATTTTATTATGTTTTATTTGTATTCTTTTATTACTTCCCTTCTACGTGACTTTACCGAAAGAACCAAGAAGATGAATATATGTATTGTCTTTGAAACTGATTGGCTTACACCAGACAGCCTTCTTCATGGCTTTGTCTCACCAGTGTCAGACCAGAGAACGCCAAAAGGCAAGAGTACAACGAGAATTGTGTTATGAGGTCACGTGAAGAAAAAAGAAAGGGATTATAAACATTTTAAGAGGGAGGGGTAAGGACCTCGGCGCGCCTGCTGGGGCTGCCCTCTGTCGATGAGGAGGTAGCAGGGGCTCTCGGGGAAGAAAGGAAGCACGAGCAGCTGTGTGAGCGCCGGCAGCACGGGGAGCGCCAGTACCACCGCCCACAGCTGCTGCTGCTGCCGCTGCCCTCCCAGCACCTCCCTGCAATAGACATACTTAAACATCATGGGAGCTCTTTTGCCAGTCCCAAAATATAATAATAGGGTTTTCTCCTTTTTTCTGGCAACAAAACAGGTGTTAAGATGTTAAAACACCAAACTGAAACCTTTTACAAGTGTAGTGTCGTGCAGAATCACTCGGTCAGACACGTTGTTGAAGCCACCTGCTTACACTTTAATACTCTCTCTCGCACCAGTTGTAGGCACTACTATCTCTGTCTATACCAGGGGTCGGCAACCAAAATAACAAGAAGAGCCATTTCTTTCCAATTCGGTACAAAATTCAGTATTTCAAGAGCCGCAATGCATCTGAGTACATACTGTACATACGTACATATCGTCAAGAATCAGCCCGTAAAGAGCCGCATGCGGCTCCGGAGCCGTAGGTTGCCGACCCCTGGTCTATACGGTCACTTTGTTCACCAACTTGCCCTATCTACTTTACACCTCGCTGACATGCCTGTGGCAGAAATTCCTCTCAGCAGCTCCGCACTCACAGCTCCGCACACACACAGCAGCTCACACAGAGCTTGCACACAGTCCCGCTCATATTTGTACACAGTCGTGCTCACACAGAGCTCGCACACAGCAGCGCTCACACAGAGCTCGCACACAGCAGCGCTCACACAGAACTTGCATACAGCAGCGCTCACACATAGCTCGCACACAGCAGCGCTCACACAGAGCTTGCACACAGTCGTACTCACACAGAGCTTGCACACAGTCGTGCTCACACAGAGCTTGCACACAGCAGCGCTCGCACAGAGGCTTCGCTCACACAGAGGCTTCGCTCACAGAGAGCTGCTCTCCTTCTGCTCCGCTGCACTCGCCTACATTCCCTCAGACCCACTCGCTCATCCAATCCAGGTGGGGGGATAAACAATCACTCGCCCGTCGACTCGCGAGAGTTGAGGTCCGTCCCTTGCTTGAGCGGCAGCGGCGAGATGTCTTCACCTTGGTCCCAAAACCCGAACTTCTGCTTGAAGGCCACATGAATTGTGGAACGCTCGCTGGCAGTAGGTCACGGGACAGACCCAGGTGCCGTGGGTTTACTGCCTTACATGACTTGCCGATGCACCACCTGTACTGCCTACTGTGCAAACTTGCTGTGATTTATCCGCCTGGCGCTCTGCTCATTGTTGTGAGCATCGCTCCTCTGTCGTCCGTTGTTGCTGGAGGGCGACTGCCTCCAACTGCCCAGTATCATCCTTCACGAGCCTCCTCTACAGAGGTTGATCTTAACGCCGCTGGTACCAGTAATTGGCAAGTCCAATCAGCTCCATATCGTCTCGTGCCACATCATTCTATGTCTTCTCTAGTTCATGTCTCTCTATATAGCCGAACAAAAGCTGTTTGGGCATGTGCTGGCTGGGGATGCGGGCTACATGACCCAGCCAACGCAGCCTTGCCTGTGAGAGGAGCCCACCGATGGGACTGTGTCCAGATCTTTCAAGAATTTGTGAGCTCCTCACACATTCCAGCCTGGATAAAGCAAGGGTGGATCATAGGCAGGCCAGCCTGAATGTTTCTAATTGGCATATATGTTACATTAGGGAGGTCCACGATTCACAAGCTTAGAGAAGGGAGGGCATGACCCTGGCCGTGAAGACCTGAAGCTTCTTGTGGAGCAACAGACCAGGTAGCTTCCACACAGCGTTACACTGCCAATGAAAAGACAATGCCACTTCACTGATATGGAGTGAGACCTCTGCTGTTAAACCGGAGCTGGTCATGAGCACACTGCCCAGGTATGGATGGAAACTTCTCCACTCTCTCCATAACTGCCCCGCCAATAGGGAGTTGAAGGGGTGGAGTGTTTGATGACACAAAATACCCAGGCAGGTGCTTAGTTTTGGAGGGGCTGATGATAATAATAATGCAATTCAGAATGCGCGCAAATTTGCGGACGTAATGGCCGCAAATCAGAGGCATGGAGCCAAGCTCAGAGTTACTCGAAAGCATGGTTGTAGAGGTGAGTTTTTAAGTGTCTCTTGAAGGAGACGATTGAGGTGATGCTGCGAATGTCCAGAGGGATTGCGTTTCAGACTGCCATCGAGAAGCGGCGCATAGACGTGACCATCCTGGATCTTGGTATCAAGAGGAGGTCGTGAGTCGCACTGCTAAGGCATCTTTCGTGTGCTGTGCTGCAAGTCGTCAATAATGAAGAGAGGTACGGGGGACAGGCAGTTGTGAAGGCATGGTGGCAGAGGCAGGCAATCTTTATGTGACTCTGCTGGCAATGGGTAGCCAGTGGAGGGCAAGGAGACAGGCAAGTGAGTCGAAACGGGGATGAGTGCAGCCAATGACGACGCGTGCTAGGTTGTTTTGTAATCTTTAAAGTTTTTTTAGGTTGCCAGAGGAGGACCGGACCAGCATGCTCCAACAGCACATCCAATTCCTTCTCTGAGTGAGCAGCAATCACCAGATCATCAGCATAAATAACATGGTTGACCAATAGAGAGATATTTCTCGACTGCACTAGGCATCAGTCAGTCTCCCATTGTATCTGTGCCAGATGGAGATTTCTTTGAAACAGCCGTGGTAACCTCGAACGAAGTGGTAAAAAATGTGTTAATGTCAGAACCAGATGATACCCCTGCCGCACTCCAAGATGAATAGAGAATGGCTCGGACTCCCGGCCACGTTGCTTTACCTGGGCCTGCTCACCATCATGAAGGTCCTTAATGATTGTGATCAGAGAGTCAGGGACTCCAAAAGCACGAAGGAGAACCTACAACCCAGGCATAGTGATGGTATCATAGGCCTTGACCAGGTCAATAAAGCAGAGATGTAGGTCTTGTTGGAATTTCCTACACCTCTGCTGTAGCAGACAGACAGAAAATATGGCATCTGTGCAGGACCGCCCTTTTCTGAAACCGCATTGGGGCTCCACAAGCCTCTCCTCAGCGTGCCTAGCAAGGCGATGTTGAATAATCCTTGCCAGGACCTTTCCCGGCACACTAAGGAGTGAGATGCCCATGTAGTTGTTACAGTCTATGCGGTCCCCCTTCTTAAAGAGGGGGACCACCAGACATCCTTCAAATCCTGCAGAACCCATCCAGTGGTCCAGACTATTGTTATGATGTCATATAGGGCAGTCTGTGCACAAACGCCACCCTCTCTCAGCATTTCGCTTGGGCGATCATCTCTGCCCGGTGCCTTTCCTGGTCTCAGACTTCAGTACTTCCTCAACAGATGGCACCTCAGCCAGCCACTGACAGGGGGTGACTTCTTCCAATATTTGAGGCACCGCAGCCTCAGCAGGGTCATCCCCACTTTGTGCCACGATGTTTTCCTGGCTGAGGGATTTCTCCTCCCCCAGGACCTCACAGAAATGCTCAGCAAATCTGCAAACCTGTACCTGGGGGTCGGAGATTGGATCACCGTTTTTTCCCCTAATGATGGTAATAGGTGTGGCGCTGCAGGTTACTTTTAATGGAGTTAAATAGTGATTTGTGATCCGGGGCCACCGAGGCAGACTCCATCTCCTCAGCAACCCGCCACCACCACCCATCCTTGCAGCGCCTAATGGCTCTCCAAACCTCCGAGCGAAGGCTGCGGTAAGCCTCCTCATTCTCTGACATGGGATGCTGTAGCCGATGAGAGTGGGCCTGTCGCTTTTTATCAGCCAGCCTGAACACCTCCTCTGTCAGCCAGGGTGTCTGGGGAGGGCTGGACCGCGTACCCAACGCAGCAATTGCAGCTGCACGAGTCACAGTCCTAAACCTCGCCCATTTACCCTCGACATCAGGAGGAGTGGGGGACGATGCCAACCCCAGCCGCAAGCGATTATGAAATTCTCGCTTGCAACTTTCATCAGCAAACTGAGACCAGGTCACTTTAGGTTGGAATGGGGTCCTGGGTGTACACCCACCACCGGAGTGGAAGAATGGCAGGCGCATCTTACAGATGACTAGCCGATGGTCAGAGGGCAGATCAGCTCAACGGTAGGTCCTGGTGTCAAGGACATGGGATCGCATCCGCGGTCAGTCACTATGTAGTCCAGCAGATGTTCTTGCTTGGACTCGACATGCATCTATGATGTTGTGTGGATGCGCCATTGCCGGAAGAACGTGTTGGTAATTACAAGCCCATGGGCTGCACTAAAATCTAACAGCCTCCTACCGTTGTTATTGAGCTGATCTGGCCCATGCCCTCCAATCATTCCAGACCAGGTGCCAGCATCATGACCAACTCGGGCATTGAAGTCACCCAACAAGATGACTCTATCCCGAGTGGCCACTTAGCCAGCACCTGTGACAGGAGGTCATAGAAGGCATCCGACTCATCGGCTCTGCCTGCATCCCTCCACGGATGTTCGTCTTCGGTGGGGGGCATACGTAACCACGACCACCACTCCTCGCCTCCGGTTGATGGGGAGGTGAGCTCACAAAAGCCTGGGGCTTACAGCTTCCCAAACATCACCGCCACGCTCCCACACCCCCTTAATTATTTTGTTCAGAAGAAGAGCCACTGTCTACTCCTCATGGTCACTGGCGCCAGAGTCAGTCCACCAGACCTCCTGAAAGCCACAGAGATCCAGCCAGTACCGGGCGAGCTCCCGATAGAGGAGTGGCAGCCTCTCCTCTGCAGTGAGCTTTCGAACATTCCACATAATTACACTCATACAGTGACACACATACTCACAGTGATACTCACATATACAAAACAAAACCCGTACAGTAAGGTCTCGACATTCGGGAGGGTTAGGTTCTTGAAAACATGCGCGAAAGTAGAATTCACAAATATAGGTAGGATTATGTTTATATAGGAAAAATGTGATTTGCTTTCTGTGTCCGACTGAACGTAAAGGAGAAATTAATACTCTTTGGTTCTTTCGGTGAAGTCACGTAGGTAGAAAAATTATAGATCACGACGTTTTGATCGCAACACAAGCAATCGTCATCAGGTGGAACAACCACAGCACCTGGAATGGTATATTCTACAAACAAAATGAGGGTACCCCAATGGGTTCTCCCTTATCGCCAGTGGTAGCGAATGTTTTCATGGAGAAATTTGAGACAGATGCCATCCAGACATTCACCCTATGTCCTTCCTTGTGGAAGAGATACGTAGATGACACGTTCGTCATCTGGCCACATGGCCTGCCAGCACTGAACCAATTTCTCAACCACATCAATTCCATACACCCATCTATCAAATTCACCATGGAAGTGGAAAAGGATGGCAAGCTACCATTCCTGGATGTTTGATCGAGAAGAGACCTGATGGCTCGTTGGGGACACTCTATCGACAGGAAAGCCACCCAAACGGATGCCTATCTAAAGCCTGACTCCCACCACCATCCAGCCCAGAAGAATTCCCTCATCAAAACACTACACCATAGGGCCCATTGCATCTCCGACCAGCATCACCTAGCCAGAGAGTAGGAGCACGTACACCAAGCTCTCAGGATGAACGGATACTCGGACCATACAATCCACAAAGCTGTCTCCCCAGACATGGGGAGACAATCATCTGAGGATCCAACCAAAACCATCACTTTGCCATACATAGCAGGGGTTACCAAAAAGATTTCCAAAATCTTAAACAAACACAAGATCCAGGTTCGTTTCCACACAGTACACAAAATCCGTGATTTGATCCCATCTGTAAAGGATGTGATTCCTGATATGCAATACCCGGGTGTCTACAAACTGAGTTGTGGCTGTGGCAGCAGTTACATTGGGGAAACGAAACGACATGTCTCGGACCGCATTCCCGAACACAAGGCAGATCTGAAACACGGGAGGACCAATATCTCTGCCGTTGCTGATCATTGTTTTAACGCAGTGGGCTCACACGAAATTGACTTTTCCAAGACGAAGGTATTCTGCAAACCCACCGGCTATTATCAGAGATTTGTTCATGAAGCCATCCAGATATATAGACAGACACAACTTCAACCGAGAAAATGGATACAAACTGAGCAATCATTGGAAGGATGTTATTAACCAGGTAAAGGCTTAACTGACTGTGCTTCCATCCTACCTGCCCATGTCAGCTGTTATTTACGAATCTCTGTGTGTTTTTCTATCTCTCTGTGCATTTCTTTCCAATCTCTACTCCAGTGACCCGGGTGCTGCTGCGGGGTCCACTTTCTGCCCCGCCTCCTCCCCCGCCCCTTCTCTCTCCCCCCCTACTGCAGTGGTCTATATAACCTCGTGCCAAGGCAGATCTCTCGCCTACTTCAGCAGTTTTTTCTTGCTGTGGTTGTCCCACCTGATGACGATTGCTGGTGTTGTGATCGAAACGTCGTGATCTATTATTTTTCTACCTACGTGACTTAACCGAAAGAACCAAAGAGTATGGGGATGATAATGTTCGAGTGTCAGACTGTGGTGTTACTCAGCCACCGGGTTAGGGAGAAACTGCAGCTAATAATGGAGAAACGTCACAGGCAGAGAGTGGCAGAAGGCATAGAGCGACTGAGTCAAACAGTTGTAAGAAATGCCTCGGATACAAATGTACATTGTTGGGGCTTCTGGGGATATATAAGGAGGGTATTTTAAGTGGCAAAAACCCAGGGAAGTAGGTTGCTGACCGATATGACTCAAATTAGCTGGGGGAAATCAATAAGTGTGAGAAAGGAGCATAGGGAAATGTAGAGCTTATGGGGGTGTTGGACGAGAGACTGAGAGCTGTGCTGACCAAGATGCTGGCAGTCGCAGGCAGCGGGACTGAAAAAGACCGATAGCGTTAGCTATAGCTTTAGTGTGCAGGTTGTGATCTGCATTGGCACTTACCAGAGTTGAGTGAGTGGAATGGAACATTTTATGAAAAGTGGGCACAAAGACATAACAATTTAGTTATATTAAAAACAGAAGCACAGCAAGATAGGGTCATGCCGACCTAAGTTACGACAAAGAAGCACACACACGTTAACTTTGTACTTAAGGGTCGCTGTGCACGCATCTTAATAATTAACTATAACCACTGTCACATATAGCATAAACCGACAGCTGCACCGTTCTAATTGGCATGCATTTGTATACTATTGGTCAACTGTCATCAAGCTGTAATTGCTGCCACGTCCAAATGCAAGCTTCAACTCGCATTATTGGCCAGCTGCAAACGCATACCAGACTGGTGGGCCGTGAGTGGGATACATTGATTGATGGAATGGTTTTAAGGGTTCAAAGCCTTGAAAATCTAAGCACACACGGAGGCTCAGTTAGAGATGGTTGGAAGATTGAGAGTTTGATTGTTTAATAGCTAAACATCGGTTGAGAAGGTTCGATCAAAGCTTGGGATGGGTATATAAGGCATCGAGAGGGAGGAAACAGAGGTGGGTGAGCTCTCGTGTGTCTAAAGCCTCGAGTATGCATTGCCACAGTGGAGTCCTCCTTTACACTTTTAGTTTATTATGTTGTTAGTCTTTATTTTATTGCGTATAGTTGTACTCTAAATATGTTTGGGAAATTAATTTAGTCCTGCATACTGGATTCCAGCTATCACTACTACGTGTCTGCTGTGAAGTACAATCTCGTTTAATGACCATCCACCTCAGAAATGTGGACACAAGGCACTTACAACACACTTACAGTGTACACAAACACATAGCATATACTCACACATGCCACATACACGTGTAGTGACTTATTACGTCACTACCGTGTTGAGTCTGTACACACACATGACGTCACTACTTTGGGGAAATAGGAATGACGTCACGGCCAGGTCGGGGAGTGTGGAGGCTGTCGATCAGTGCCACGGGGGTTGTGTCAGGCCGTGGCACTCTGTGTGAACCCAGCCGGACACGTGACCGAATCAATGTGGGGGCCCCAGGGGGACCTTGGGGGTCGTGTGGCCAGAAGCAGAGCTTTCTCGAGGGTTCGAGAAGGGGGGCGTGGTCTGGGTGTGGCCTGGCCACGCCGAGGCGCATATAAGCGGCCTCCGCACTTGGTGCGGGGCTGCTCGGGTCCAGGATGAAGACGCCTCATGAAGAGTGAAGAGACGCCTCAAGTCAGCGTGGCCAAGCAGTAGCCCTCCTGGCTTGGCCACGCCAGTTGTTACCCGAGTGTCGAGTGTTAGCGAGGTTAAGTCGGTGGTCACCACCCTATGTGTAGTGTAATTACAGGTGTGTTAATAAATAGTGTTGCCTCCCTACGAGAGTGTGTGCGCCTCTATCGAACCATTACACACGTACTGTACACTCAATGAGTCTCCCAGATCATTCTACGCTTTGCACATCAATGAGTCGGCTTGCAACCCCCGTGCGGGAAAGGAAAATCAGGGTGCTGGGTTTATAGATAAAAGCGTTAACCACTATACTACCGCTTTCCACACTGTATAGAAACAGGCACTCGGTCCTCACCGTAGCCCGACTATCTGCCCGCAGAAGATGCCCAGGGTGAGGAAGATGGATGTGCTCATAGCGAGGGCTCCTCTCTGGTGCTGTGGGGCGCACTCGCTCAGGTACATGGGCTGCAGGCTCAGGCCCACTCCTGGATAACCCACATCAGCAGCAACAACATCATGAATAGCAGCAATAGCATTAGTAACAGAAAAAGTTATTTGTCGCAGTAATAGCATCAGTAAAAGCAGCAATTGGCATGCATAATAGCATACGCTTTAGAGGATGTCGAAGAAAATCCTCACAATCAAAACAGTAAACTTGGCTCAAGTACATCCAGCCGTTAGAATTTTATAGGAAACCTCCCATTGGCTCCTCACAGTACTACGGGATTGGCTGAGAGGTTCGAATCTACACGTGTAAGTAGATAAGGTTATAGAATTGGGGGGTGGGGGCATGAGCTTATATTGGTTGGCACTGTACGTAGCCAACAGTGTTAATCGGAGGTGCGGGGAAGGACAACAAACTAAACACAAAAAGTTGTTTTACAGAAATTAGTTTTCAATCTAGTTTTAAAAGTACATAGCTCCACTATCTTTCTAATATGGGAAGGAAGAGCATTTCAGACAGCCACAAAAGGGCGCGATGCAGTGACCATCTTTGTTCGATGGCTTGCCAAAAGCCGCTGTGAGGATGACCGGAATTTGCGTGATGGTTTATGTTCCTTGACAATATCAACAAGGTATTATGGTTCATTTGTGGCAAGCACTTTGTGTAATGCGACCTTATAATGTAGTCGTTCAGTAACCGGAAGCCAATGCAGCTCAGAAAACACTGGACGGCCAAGTGAATAGTGGAGTCAGAGCTGTCCCTACAGTGCAGGAGACCCTTGAATATCACGCGGTTTACGTTCTTGGAAAGTGCCGTGAAAGCGGCTGGCACAAGGGCCAGCTGTTCAGCACACCTAAGCTGCCTGATCCTAGTCTGTGGCCTGCTGCCATCTCAAATTGACCTGCTCCTAGTTTGTGGGCTCCTGCAACCTCCAGTCTGTGGTGATTGCTGCTGCGAGCTGTTGTGACCGCTAATTTGACTGTCCACTTGGACAGCGCACTAACAGCCAGGCCTGCTCTTTGTTGTCAGCTTTGTTGGACATCTGGTCGACATCCACTCTATTTGCCCCAATGGACTAAAATGCTGAGGTACACTCACTCCGGTATGCTTTCACTTAAACATAACATTTGCAAAAAAGTATTGGACTTGGACATATTGCATAATTATGATTTACTGTGGCGCCATAAGTACATTCATAGGGGTTTTGGTGGAAATTACTCCCGGTCTGAAAATACTGGAAACTGGATCAAATCCTTCTGGTCTAATATACGCCATTCAACACGTCATACAGAGGCATTGATCAGAAGTCTATACGTTACCTTTCCCCTCTACATTATGCCAATGCTACTCCTATACAAATCCGTCCGGTAACACACATAGCCAGCAATAGAAGACACGGACAGTATGAACTATCTTGTGGTGGTGGTGTTAATGTAAGTAATCGAATCTATGTTCCACTAAATGTCGCTCCCTCGCAGAGCCTGAGTAGCCCTATAAAAATGAATTGGCACTATTCAATGTCTGTTCACTCAGCAATAAATCACTCGTCATAATGACCTCATTACGGAACGTAAGCTAGATAGCATATTTTTAACAGAGACTTGGTTAAATAATGATGGGCCCGCCGTGCTGATTGAAGATACCTCCACGTGCTATAGCCTCTCATATCAGACTGCACAATTTGTAAAGCTATCACCCCAACAGTTGGGAAAGAGCCATCTGAGGACCAAATCCACACCATCACCCTTGCCATACATAGCAGGGGTCACCAAAAAGATATCCAAAATCATGAGCAAACATACGATCCAGGTTCGATTTAACACAGTACATACAATTCGTGATCTGATCCCATCTGTGAAGGATGCGATCCCTGACACGCAATACCCTGTCGTATACAAACTAAGCTGTGTCTGCTGCAGAAGTTACATTGGGGAAACTAAGCGATATGTCTCGAACCGTGTTTGTGAACATAAGGCAGATCTGAAACACTGTAGGACCAATACCTCGGCCATGGCTGATCATTGTTTTAATGCGGTGGGCTCACACGGAATTGATTTCTCTATGACGAAGGTACTTTGCAAACCCACTGGCTATCAACAAAGATTTGTTCATGAAGCCATCCACATATACAAACACAGACACCTTCATTTGAGAAGATGGGCATAAACTGAGTAATCATTGGAATAACGCTATCAACCAGTTTGTCATAACTGGCTGTGATGTTCCCATCCTACCACCTTCCGATGTTAGTTGATATTTTCGGCTCTCTGATTCTACATTAACAGGTACAATTTCCCGCACTAACACAGCCACCTCGCTCGCCGAGCTCGACGTTGCTGCTCTGCGATCTTCCATTAACATGCTAATCTCTCACATTAACATAGCCACCTCCGCGCCCTGGTCATGAACGTCGCCCTCCGATATTACATTAGTAAGCTAATTTCTCACATTAACACTAGTCCTGCTCACTTCGTTTATAACCCTTGGGCTACACCCATATAAAATATTTAAAGCAGTCTGCCTCAGCAGTTTTCCCCCTCTTTTTTCTTTCTGATGACGAACGCTTGTGTTGCGATCAAAACGTCATAATATTTCGTTATTTTCTTTGATTCTATCTCCGTGACTTTACCGAAAAATCCAAATAATATGAATTCCTGCAGTCACGAAAGCTTTAAGCCAAGATTTAATCAGAAGGGGGCGTATCTGGGTTAAAGGTAAAAGGTGAGGTTAGTCGCGAAGCTCCGGGAACCTGCTCGAAGGTATTGGAAGGGGGCGTGGCCATAGGAGGGGCCGAACCATGCCGAGAGGTATATAAGGGGGATGGAACCGAAGGTTCAGGGTTGTTGCAGGGTACCAGGTCCTGGCTGCGTCGCTACTCCCATCGCCGTCATCGGCACGCTAGTCAGTCAGCTGTATGGTTGGATGTAGGCGATGGGACTATGTAGAGAGGTCGGCTGTGCGTAGCTAAAGTAGAGACGTATTTTATATTACCCAGTGTTGTGCCCAGTGAGAGGAGACGTATATATATGTATCGGCCTGTGTTGTGCCCAGTGTGAGAATACGTGTCTCGGAAGTCGCTCATTATATAATAATGCGAGTTGTGAGGAGCGGTAGTGTAGCGGTTAGTGCGCTGCGTTATGAGCATGGTGACCTGGGCTCGATTTTCGCTCACGGTTAACACCAGTGACGATTATTTGACCCCGTCCTGGGCCTTCCCTAGGTCGACTCAACCTCAAATGAGTACCTGGTGCAATGTGTAAACATCGCCACTAGGGAGACAAAGGTGGCCAGGCATGGTGTTGGCCACCCACCCGCTCGTGTGCTATGCCAGCCTTTATAGGTGCTCGCTAACAGCACTTACCCCAAGTCTGTTAAGGCTATATGGGGGATCTTTGTGTTTTTATGTATGCGAGTGGGGACCGGTAGTGCTACGGTTAGCGCACTGTGCTACGAATCCCGAAACCCGAGTTTGATTCCCGCTCACGCCAAACCCCAGTGATGATTGTCTGAATCGGTTTTGGGCCTCCCATAGGTCGACGCAGCCTCAAATGAGGACCTGGTGTGCTGTAGTGGCCTTCATAGGTGCTCGATAACAGCAATGGTCCCAAAAGTCTGTTAATATATTTCGCTTTAAAGCTTACGTGACTTCAGGGATTCATATTATTGTTTTTTTTTGTAAAGTCACATAGAAGGGAAATAATACAATAATAAAAATACAATTCTCACGACGTTTCGATTGCAACACAAGCGTCCGTCTGAACAACCGCTAGTCGCTGCCCGTGGTGCTAACGTTAAAATAAACGCCACTTTTTTCAAAAAAATTATTGTTGTGGTTTTCACACCTGATGATGATTGCTTGTGTTGCAATCAAAACGTCGTGAGAATTTTATTTTTATTTTTATTATTTCCCTTCTACGTGACTTTACCGAAAGAACCAAGAAGTCTGTTAATAGGCTATATTGGGGGTCTTTATCTGCAAGATGCTTGCACGGCAAAGGTTGAGGTGCCACTGCCTCGCGTCCATCGCCGGGCCTGCCCTGCACCATGGTATCAGCCAATGATACAGTACTTCTGGTTACACTATACCCGCGAAAGGCTAAAACTAACCCTAACGATAGCTAAATTGGTATACAAAGAGGTTACTGGCAATAGCCAACCGACGACCTGGGAAGCTATAGGCTGATATCACTCCTGGGCAAGACCTATAAACTCCTGAAATGCATCATCCTCCAGAGAATCAGCCTTATCGAGTCAGTGATCCCTGAAGAACAAGGGATTCTGGCCTGGATGCAGCTGCTGTGACAAAAGTTTTGGGCCTTCGGACACACATCGAAGCTGGATTCCATAAAAAATTGAAGACCGGCACAGACTTTGTGGACTTGTCATGCGCCTACAACACAGACCCAAAGAATATTAATTCCTGCAGTCACGAAAGCTTTAAGTCAAGATTTAACCGCCTCTACGGGGAGGGTTTCTACACAACTATTCAATTTTTTAAGGCTCATCTGATCGAGTCACTCACATTTCTAAAGAGATGCCGCAACACTAAGGTAATACCGATCGCCATTACATTGACATCTCTACATCTGATTGGGAACATGTAGATAACATGACAGCCTCTTCAGCTGCCTCAATCTCAGCTAAATGCAAAGATAATCAAATTTCCAAGTTCCCACGCTGCTGACATTTGGGCTACGCCCATTTTAAACCTTTATAAACAGTTTGCTTTAGAAGCTCCTTTTCCTGATGATGACCGCTTGTGTTGCGACCGAAACGTCATAGTTTTTGCTATATTTCTTTGAACCTATCTACATAAATTCTAGATTTGAAGCTTTCGTGACTGCAAGGATTCAAATTCTTAGGTTTTTTCGGTAAAGTCACGTAGGTAAAACATTAAAATTAATAAAAGTAAAATAAAAAAAAATCACGACGTTTCGGAGGCAACACAAGCTTCCGTCTTCAGGTAGAACCGTCACAGCCACGACAGCTGTATCAAGTAAATGATACAGCTGTCGTGGCTGTGACGGTTCCACCTGAAGACGGAAGCTTTGACAAAGGCAATGCCACTGCCATCATGGACAACATAGAATACAACAACAAGATTCAGGAACTACTTAACGATGGCAGCTATACAAAAATAAAAAGAGACCCCATCAACAGCCTCGTCTCCAAAACCAACAAAATCATTTCTGCTTCAACCGCATTAATTGATCACACCAAACAGTTCTCGTTGAAACCTTCTGCAATGAGGCCACCAAGAGTGTACGGCTTGCCAAAGATACATAAAGAAGATACACCTCTTCGTCCCATTGTCTCTACTATCAACTCCCCCACCTACAAACTGGCTCGTTTTTTGTCTGAAATCCTACGGCCTTTCACTGGAAAAACCACCTCTGCGGTACTAAACTCTACTGACCTGGTATCGACAATCAAGGGGATTTCCCTGTCCCCAGACGACTTGCTTGTCAGTTTTGATGTGGTTTCCTTGTTCGCCAAGGTTCCTGTGTCTGACACCATCGCAATCATTGAAGACTTGGTTAATCAAGGACTGAATACTGGGGTACCCCCCCTGGTGAGACACTGCTTAACTAATACATACTTCACCTGGAATAGAACTTTCTACAAGCAAACTGAGGGCACCCCAATGGACTCCCCCCTATCTCCGGTTGTAGCCAACATTTTCATGGAGAAATTTGAGACTGACGCCATCCAGACTGCCACTCTACACCCGACCTTATGGAAGAGGTACGTAGATGACACTTTTGTCATCTGGCCACATGGCCGGCCTGCTCTAGAACAATTTCTCGACCACATCAATTCCATACACCCAGCCATCAGATTCACCATGGAAGTCGAAAAAGATGGCAAGCTACCCTTTTTGGATGTCCTAATTAAAAGGAGACCTGGTGGTTCAATGATCAATTTTGTCTACAGGAAAGCCACTCATATGGATGCCTACCTAAAACCGGATTCCCACCACCATCCATCCCAGAAGAACTCCCTCATCAAGACTCTATACCATAGAGCCCAATGCATCTCCGACCAGGAACACATTGCCAGTGAACTCAAACACGTACGCCAAGCTCTTAAGGCTAGTGGTTACTCCGACTACACAATCCGTAAAGCCATCACTCCAACCATCAAGAAGGATCCTGTTGAGGAGCCTTTCAAAACCATTACCTTGCCCTACATTGCTGGGGTCACAAAAAAGATCTCCAAAATCCTGATTAAACACAAGATTCAGGTCCGATTCAACACAGTACATAAAATCCGTGATCTGGTCCCGTCTGTAAAAGACGTGGTTCCAGACATACAGTACCCTGGCGTCTACAAACTAAGTTGCCTCTGTGGACATGTCTCGGACCGCATCTGTGAACATAAAGCCGACCTGAAACACGGTAGGTCAAACACCTCAGCCATGGCAGATCACTGTTACAATTCAGTGGGCTCACATGACATTGACTTCTCCAAGACAGAGGTTCTCTGCAAGCCATCTGGCTACCATGAGAGATTCGTTCAGGAGGCGATCCACATATCCAAACACAGAGACTATTTCAACCGAGAAGATGGATTCTGGCTCAGCAATCATTGGAAGGACGTAATAAACCATTTCGGATCTTAACTGCTTGTTGTTCACGTTTACGGTGACTTTCAGACCGCAGTCCACTCACTGGCATTAACTGTGTATCTTGTGTTCTCCACAGGGAATGGATTATTTGCTCCGCTGCGGGTCTCCTGCCACCGCTCTCCCATTCACATGTTTCATTGCTTCTACATACTATTTACATTCCCTCCCTTTGTTAATGCTACCCCCTGCCCCCTCCCTTTGGTGCTGCTGATCTTGCATAATGCATGGGCATAATATGACTTTGAAACCCCCCCGCCCACTTCCTACGCATTTCCAATGAATATGCTAAATTCCTCTTGATATGCACATTCTTTTGTTAAGGCGCTCTTCTTCCACCTCCAACCCAGCTTATATATAAGCTCCTAGCTTGGCAGTGTCTCATTCTTCACCTGAAGACGGTTGCTTGCGTTGTAGCCGAAACGTCGTGAGGATTATTTTATTATGTTTTATTTTTATTATTTTATTACTTCCCTTCTACGTGACTTTACCGAAAAAAACAAGAAGATGAATATTATCAAATACATTCTACAGGCAGCATATATTTACGTGGCAAATGCGGCCACATGCTGACTAATTGAATTGAATGTCATAATGAGTGTCTTGGCGATATTATATATTGAGTTAGAATTCGTATATAAGTCAGAACCATGAGTGATGTGGAGAAGCAGTGGAGCAAGATGTCCTTCCTCTGACGGCTGTTGCAAGCCTTTGTCAAAGCATGAATACAATTTGTCACTGTTCATAAGAGGTTTTTTTGGGTTACATGTCTTCGCTAGCGCTCCTCAAAAGATAGATTCAAAGGTACAATAACAGGTACCTCATATCCTCTGCATACTCGTAGATCCTGATTGGCTCACATTGACGACATCAGATTTACCCCATCTATTTAAAATCGAAACAGGAGGAATTCGCTACAATTCTAGCTATCACTTGATGAGGCTGATTGTAATTACCGGTGAAATGTCATACTCGAATTGTAAATGTTGTGGGTTTACTCTCCAACACACCGGTGTTTTGAACTAGTAACTAATTGACATGTTTTGTTTGCGTGACAAACTTTACTAATTGCCTTTGTCAGGTGGTGGCGGGTTTAATGACACCCGCCACCACCTATTGGGTGGAGGGAGGGTGGGATGGCGGCGCTAATTAATTGCAGACGATATGGACATGAAGTTGAGTTCCATTTTTCATCTCCGCATTGTGGCTATGAACCCAGCTACCAGGGTTTGATTCCAAGCCTTGTCTAACATGAGTGGCGAGTGATATTTGAACCTGAGGTTCTGCATGGCCCCTGCTGCTTTCTCCACCCACTAACATCTACTACCCTTCACACAACATAAATACCAGGTACCTGCAAGCACTGTGGTTCTCCATGCGTGGTAAGTGTTGCATTTGATGTTTTATTACTTTAATTTAAAATTTTAATTTGTATTTCTCACGTTAAGAAAGTTGTTCAAGAGTGGAAACATTTGGGGCTGAAACGTAGCTCTGGTTTTAACATGGGAGTCTAAGAGAAAATGATGATCGCTTCACAAGTTTTCGCTTGCCGAGTTATTTTCAAAGAAAGTATCTCGTTCATTAAGCGAGACACGCCTATAATAGCAGTTTTAGCCATAGTACTGGTAACAAAAGCAGTAGCATCGTATAAATGTCAAACATGGTTAAAACTCAAAGTGATGTTCTGCTGAAATGAGCATTGAGGCATTGCTGCTCATCTGCTGACAGCCTTGCCTAACCAGGGGTTGTAAATTCCACATCCAGATGGAGGTGGGTCTTTTCATATGAAAACCATTCTTGACCTTCCCCACAAAGTGGTACAAAATCAATATCAGAATATTTATTTATCCTAGAGAAATCCAATGAGATAAAAGCGTTTTTCACAGATGTCCAGTAGGGGCAGGTACGTGCGTTAAAGCAAACAATACAAAAGATGGTCGTAGTGCAAAGTACAAGAAAGGTTAACAAATCACCCAAACACATCAAAATACAACTACACTATCCGCATCTTACCAGGAAAATCCCACTGAGGTATTAACTTATTTTTAGAAGTAACCTGACTATCACAAATGATAGCTGAACAAAGTGGCTATCATTGGGAGTTATTGTCGTCTATAGTGTATATGTAGTGACATAAGAAGGGAGGGGCTGCTGGGGGCTCTGGGACCCTGGGCGGGCCAGGCGCTTAAGCCTCTTGGCGCCAGGCGTTGGGTTCCCAGGCGCTTAAGCCTCTTGGCGCCAGGCGTTGGGTTCCCAGGCGCTTAAGCCCCTTGGCGCCGCCAAAGGGGAGGGGCTGTGTGTGCTCTGTGGGATATCTGGGGGCGCACACGGCCCCATCCCTCGTTGGGGACTAGGCATAAAAGGTGAGCTCCCTGGACGATCAGGGCCAGTTGTAGCTCAAGACCCAAGACCCACGACCAGCCATCTGAAGACCCTGGGATGTTGTGAGAGCGAGTGGTGGGGCTCTGGAACTCCCGACTCTACGACCTTGTGAGGGCGAGTTCCAGAGCGTAGCCAGAGTAGAGTATCTAGGCTGTGTACCTAGGCTGTAACAGAGTATCAGGAGTGTTGGAGAGTTGGAGAGTTGGAGTGTTGGATTGTAATAAAGAATTTACCTCTACAAGTGTCTCCGGAACCCGTTACATATAGGTGTATGCACTGATAGCAGTGGTTAGTGTAGTGGTTAGTACACTGCGCTAGCAGTGTACTAACCACTACAGCAGTGTACTAACCGGAGTTCCATTCCTGCCCATATATAATAATAGCAGTGAGGATTTGAACCGGTCATGGGCCTTCTCTAGGTGGACTGAGCCAAAAATGAGTACCTGACATGGTGTGTAAACATCACTGGGGAAACAAACGCAACCGGGCGTAGTGTTATCCATCCAGCTCCTCACTAACAGCTAACAGCACTTGCCCCAGAAGTCTGATCAGGCTTTAGGGGGTCTTTGTCGTGTGTGCATATATACAGTATATGTACGTATATATTTATATCTGGATCTGCTTCATGCTGTTGATGATGATCTCACCCACCGCAGTTGACCCCGATGAGGAAACGGCCGATGATGAGGAGCTCGAATGAGGAGGAGACGTCGCTCACCCCCATGAGGATAGAGGCGAGGATCGCGAACGCATTGTTAGCGAGGAGACCGCACTTCCTGATCACACAAAAACAAGGATAACCCCGTGTCACCCCTCAAAAGCTGTTGGGGCAAGTGCTGTTCGCGAGCCTCTCTCATCTCTTTTTACATCCCCCCTCATGCGCTTCGTTCACAATTTTCTCCCCGCCTCTCTCTCTGTCCCTCCTTCTCCCTCTGCCCAATCTCGTTTTCAATCTTCCTCCCTCCTTACACCCTACCGCTGGAATAAACTTCCCCTGTACCTTATAAGCAGTCCCAATCCTTAACCTCCATCCGTTCCTCTCTTAAAGCCTCACCTCTTCTCCATTGCCCAGTCACTTCTTCTTCCCTCCCCTAGCCCTTCTACTCCATGACATCCCTCTCCTGTAGCCCTTTCGTGACCCAAAGTGCCCTCTGTTATGGTCACTCATTCCATGGCCCTTGCGCTGCCCTTACCATCTAAATTACTCTAATATTGTACCGCTTTTAAACTATGTAAAGCGCCTTGAGCTAAGGCGCTCTATACATATGTAATGTAGTAACTTGGCAGGAGATGACTTAACGGGTAGCACACTTTTATTAACACCAAACTTATTTACACGTATGGCCAACTGTAGCCTAAGCTGCGCGGTTCCCCCGGCTACACACCCACGGGCTCTTCCGCCCCGTAGCTTCTCGGGAACCCACCCCGGCTGGGGTATGAGTCTCGACCCCTGGGTCCCACAGCCTCGCCCCACATGGACGTCAGACCGCGGGTCCCACAGTCTCGCCTCTGAGCCGCACAGGGCCCCGGCCCTTACAAGGACAGCGGGACTAGGGGTCTCAGGGCCCTATCTCTCCAACTCCGTCTTCGATCTTCACTGGTTAACAACTCCTCGAGTGCTCCCGCGCGTCCCCCTTTATAGTCCTCCGCTGCCGGGGAGGCGGAGCCCATGCGGACGTTGCTGAGAGCACCCACCCCAGTTGACCAATCACCACGCGCTGCCCCACGATCCTTTTTCCCATCTTGTGTCAGCGCACACAACCACGCACCACGCGCTGCCACGTGATCCATCACTGTCAGCGCGCATCACCACTATACCACGCGATGTAGCCACACCCGGCGCGCTCACACACGCGCCCCCCTTGTCAGCGCGTACCGCCACTACATCACCCCCTACCACATAGCTCGCAGCCGGCCCGGCTGCTAAGAAAAAATTTTTCCTCCCCGTGTGTGCCCCGTAACACCAACAATAACCACAACAACACAACAACATAACACAACACAACACAACAAGAACTCCGCAAGCCCGTACGAATCAGAACACGCCACCGTAACAACAAGAACAATATGTACAAACCGGCGAGTGACAACAATAAACTATGTACAAAAATGACCCGTGCAGCGTCCCTTCATTTCCGACCGCCCCTTGAACGGGACATTAGACCGGGCTGAAGGGGAACGCAGCGAAGAGATGCAACCCCGGGCCCCCCCTTTTTTTTTTTTTCAGGAAAAGTGTCGCGTCTTAGCACGAGTCCGCCTGGCCGGTCCGTCGTACGGCACCAGACGCGGTTGACCGTCAGGTGGCGCCGGCAGTCCAGGAAGGCACGGGGCAGGCATCGGTCCGAGACACCTGGGAGTGGGTCAGGCGGAGACACGTGAGGATCAGACTGCGACACATCCCTCCCCGAGTCGACGGCCACATCACACGCTCGGTCGTCACGGCACAAAGAGAGGCCATGTGGTGCCGCGAAAGGTTTCAGACGGGAGGGGTGTACGTACCAACGGCGTTTTCCCCATTTAATCTGAACACACTGGGGTCGCGCAATACGCACGACTTCCACAGGTCCCCTCCATGGTCTCAACAATTTAGGGGACGTAGCCAACGGTGCATGTGGGCAGTGCAGCCAGGCCTTATCGCCTGGTTTCCAATCGTGCGTATACACCTTTCATGCATGCAATCTTTCGTTAGCGATCTGGCGAGATCTCGAATTCAACCTCGCAGCCTCCCGTGCTTCAGCCAGTTTGGCGATATTAAATTTGATGTGATCGGCCAATTTAGACTTCACACGTGGCTGGGAAATCCCCAGTTGGGCATCCATGGGCGGATCGGCCTCTCGCCCATACATGAGAAAAAATGGGGAAAAACCCGTCGCCGCATGGGGTGCCATTCGATAGGCCGCGAGGACCCCCGGTACCTGTAAGTCCCAGTCAACCTGATCGTCACAGACCTGTTGGCACAACATAGAAGTAATCGTCCTGTGGAGACGTTCAACCATTCCATCAGTCTGTGGGTGGTACGGGGAGGTACGCACTTTTTTCGTACCCAACAGGTCGCACACCTCGCGCAACAAAACGCTCGAAAAATGTTTTCCCTGGTCAGTTAACAAGCGTTCGGGGGCACCTTTGTCCAAAACATAGCCCTGGACAAAGGCGTCCGCCACTGCCGCAGCCGACTGGTTGGCGAGCGGCCATGCCATGGGCCATCGGGTGAAGTATTCTACGCCAACTAGCAGGTACTTGTCACCCCTCGGTGTAACGGGAAAGGGCCCCAAGATGTCGAGCGCGACCAGTTCGTTCGTGCGCGAAACCTGGATGGACTGTAGCGGTGGATTAGCCGCTACCGGCGGCGGTTTTCTTTGAGCGCATCCCACACACCCCTTGAGGATGTTCGCCACGTCGCTCCCCATACCCAGCCAATAATAGTCCCGCTGGAGTAGGGCGAGCGTTTTATGAAATCCCAAATGCAGGAGTCGTTCGTGAGCAGCCAGAACGACCCTACCCCGCATAGCAGATGGCACAACGAGCACATGATGCCGGGACATATTGTCCCACTTCATCAGGAGGCCCTGTCTGACCACCCAGGAGCCGACCCCCGTCTCCCCCACCCCGGGACCCTCCGCCTTCCGACGCAACGTGAGTAGGGAGCTGTCAGCCATTTGGAGACGGCCCCACTCAATAAGAGGCAACGCGAGTAACGAGCCCCCGCACGCGGGAGCGGCAGGTACGTCGACCTGTGGAGCGTCAGTGGCGGCGAGCAGAACTTCCGCGGGGATGGCGACAGGGGGTTTACACCGCGCCGATCCCAGACGACATGCGCATTCCGAGCCAGTCGACAACCGCGACAAGGCATCCGCATTCGAGTGCCGCAATCCCTTACGGTAAATGGTCGTGAATTGGTAGTCTTGGAGGACCTCCAACCATCGGGATAACTGACCGGAGGGTTGCGCAACCCGCATTGCGTACTGGAGCGCCACGTGGTCCGTACGAACAGTAAAATGACGGCCGTAGAGATACGGCCTGAATTGCTGGATAAAAAAACGATCGCTAGCAATTCACGACGTGTCACACAGTAGCGCTGTTCCGCAGGTGACAAAACTCTGCTACCGTAGGCGACCACCTGTTCGACACCCCCGACCACCTGCAAGAGCACTCCCCCGATACCCGTGTTACTGGCATCCGTGTCAAGCAGGAACGGTTGCGTGAAATCGGGGTAACACAAGGGAGGAGCCCGCACTAAGGCGTCCCGAAGGGAGCAGAACGCAGCCTCCTCCTCTGGCCCCCAGTGAAACCTTACCCCTTTAGCCGTCAAAGCATGTAGGGGCCTGGCTATGGTGGCAAATTTTTCAACAAAACGGCGGTAGTAGGAGGCAAACCCTATGAAGCTGCGGACCTCAGTGACTGAGGTTGGCGTTGGCCACGAGCTGACGCAGTGCGTCTTAGCAGGATCTGTAGAGATCCCTGAACGGCCAACGATATGCCCCAAGTACCTCACCGATTCCCGAAGCAGGTGACATTTAGCTGGTTTAAATTTTAATTTTGCGGAACGCATCCTGAGGAACACCCCCCTCAATCGTTGGAGGTGCTCCTCGAAAGTCCAGCTGAAAACGACGATGTCATCGAGGTAAATCAAGCAGGTGTCCCATTGGAGTCCTGACAAAACCAATTCCATGAGCCTCTGGAACGTGGCGGGAGCGGAATGTAGCCCCATGGGCAATCGATTAAATTGAAATAGGCCTCCTGGTGTCCGGAAAGCGGTCTTTGGTTTCGATTCCTCATCGAGGGGCAATTGCCAAAATCCCGAAAGCAGGTCAAGCGTCAAAAAAAACCGTGCCCCCGCCAAGGCATCTAGCGACTCATCCATCCTGGGGAGTGGATACGCGTCGGCCATCGAGATTTTATTTAGGCGGCGGAAGTCCACACAAAACCGCAAGGACCCGTCCTGTTTTTTAACAAGGACGATGGGAGCACCCCATGGACTGGAAGAGGGCGAAATGATGTCGGCAGCCAGCATGTCATTAACAGCCGACTGCACATGCTCCTTCTCGGCTGGGCTCAGCTGGAAGGGATTCTGCCGAATTGGGGCCGCATCACCCGTCGCTATGTGGTGGCGCAACAGGTCCGTGCAGCCAATATCGTACTTGTGTCTGCTAAACACATCAGCGAATTCGAGTAGCAGGCCCCTCAACGCTCCCAACTGCACACTAGACAGGTTACTAGACCCATCACACAACGAGTCCAAACATTCTGTATCCTCGTCTGATGGAGGGTGCGGATCGAGGTTAGAATCCACATGTGCAACGAGCTGCTCATCCATGGGTAACGGCGCCGCGTGAGCAAGCACAGTGCCCTGTGTAATAACAGCTGGTCGCGACCCCGTGTTCAGAACCATAACGAATGGATTCCTGTCCGCCCGCACCATGGTCTGAGCTACCGCTAAATCGAGGCCCCCAACAGCTCTGTTTGACGGCCCCAACAGAACACCCTGTTCCGCCGCATCCACCCCGAAGGGTTTCCGCAACCGAAGGGGTACCAGCATCTGCGATCCCGGGGGTACTCGCATAGTCTGAGTTGCCAGCGCCTGGACCGTTGCACAAACCGTGCGTGTTTTGGTAGGACTTGCCAAAAATGCAATACGCCGACCCGATGGAAGCTCAATACAGGCCTGATCGACGAGAATTTTAATGGGCATTTTAGCCAGAAAGTCCGTACCCAGTAAACAAGGAACTGCCAGGGACGATGAAACCAAAATAGGACCCGCCAATTTAATATCTCCAATACAAATTGTCGCCCGAATCTGTCCGACAATTCCCAAAGAGCCCCCGTTCGCCGCGTAACATGGTACGTCCACCGGGAGTAGGGATCGACATTGGACGGGGAGGATGTTATAAATAAGGTCCGAAATGATAGTGGCCGACGCACCTGTGTCCACCAGCACCCGGACCTCAACCCCGTCAATAAATCCCGTTACTACGGACGACCCGGCTGATGCAGCCACTATCCTGTGGGCCAACTCAGACCATTTTACTGCTCCCAGGCCGTGTACGAACTCCCCTCGCCGAACCGAATCCCCGGCCCCAATGCGCGGTCCCTCCACCGCGAAGCGGCGACCCGAATGTGCCGTGTATGTGGACCGAGCGTGTGTGGTGCCGCGACTTGCCGGGGGTAGCTGGGACGACTTTGGCCCTTGTTCGTCGTCTGGACGTGGTCCCGTGGCGCGCTGACGCGGGGCCCGGCACCCGGCCGCGACGTGACCCCGAAGGCCGCAGTTGTAACACATGACGAGAGACGTCACAGGTTTCGGTTGCTCCAGCTTGAGGGACGATCGCATGAGCGAACGACCTCCCGATCTCCACTCCCCCGGTCTCGCCACGGTGAAGGCCTCCTCCCGAGCTGGAACAGTCTGAGGCTCGGCGATCATCGAGGCAGGTGTCGCGATCCCCGCCGATGCACAGACGACCGTCCGCTTGCGCTTGAGGACCTCGTGTGCATGGATACTTGTAGCAACCCCCAAGGAGCAGATGTCCATTTCGTCAGCCGTATTGATGGGGACCCCCAGGTCGTGGGCCAACGCCAGCAGCTGCTCTGTCACCATGGCGTCCTTCCCCTCCTCGTCCATGCGGGGAAAGGCGGCATCCGCCAGGGCAGCGACGTGCGGTAGGCGAGCGTAGTTTCCCCGTCCACTTTACGCCGTTCGTAAAACTGGTGGCGACAGGTCGAGGGCGGTCCAAACACCTTGGCCATGAGGTGTAGCGCGGCCTGGAGCATGGAGCGGGACGATCTTGGGGCGGATGTGAAGGCCGCGAGTGCGTCGTCGTCCAGCGTCGCCGGCAGCGCACGTAAGGCGGTGGCGTCGGACCACCCCGACATTTCTTGATGTGCGAGAAACCTTCGCTGGAAGGCCCCCCAGTCGCCCCCCTCAGCCTTGAACGCAGTCAGCGCGGGAAGTCTTTGTTGGAAGACTTGGTCGTCCTCCTCCGATGGATGATTTTCCCGCGCGCCGCTGTGGTTGAAGAGAATGGCGGCTCCCTCGGCAGGTGCATGGTGGAGACTTTTGGCGCGCGCTGATGACGCGGGCTGTGTAGAGTGGAGGTCCCCGACCACGTGGTGTCCACGCTTCCCGCCAATCGATGGTGGATCATCAAAATTGGCGCCAACTTCAAAATTTGAGGCGCGGAGCGCATTCTGGCGGGATCCTTCGGGCCGCGCTCCCTCCTCCAGCCTCGTCGTCGTCCTCCCGCCTCCAGAAGCGGTGATTTCCGCCAAAATAGAAGCGGCGGCGAGCAGCAACTCCGCCAGGCGGGAGTGTGCATCCCGGAGGCCGGTGTCGGACCCGAGCGGAGCGTCGGGTATCGCCGCGAGGTGCTGCGGCGTCGGCATCTCCTAGTCCTCCCCTCCCGAGGCTTGTAGTTCCGGTACGTCGTAGTCGTCTTCCCGATCTCGCTCGTGGGTACGGGTAGTCTTCCTAGTATCCATCCTTTTGAAGACAGGTTTACTTTTGACGCCAGTTGTAATGTAGTACCTTGGCGGGAAACGACTTAACGGGTAGCACACTTTTATTAACACCAAACTTATTTACACGTATGGCCAACTGTAGCCTAAGCTGCGCGGTTCCCCCAGCTACACACCCACGGGCTCTTCCGCCCCGTAGCTTCTCGGGAACCCACCCCGGCTGGGGTATGAGTCTCGACCCCTGGGTCCCACAGCCTCACCCCACATGGACGTCAGACCGCGGGTCCCACAGTCTCGCCTCTGAGCCACACAGGGCCCCGGCCCTTACAAGGACAGCGGGACTAGGGGTCTCAGGGCCCTTTCTCTCCAACTCCGTCTTCGATCTTCACTGGTTAACAACTCCTCGAGTGCTCCCGCGCGTCCCCCTTTATAGTCCTCCGCTCCCGGAGAGGCGGAGCCCATGCGGACGTCGCTGAGAGCACCCACTCCAGTTTACCAATCACCACGCGCTGCCCCACGATCCTTTTTTTCATCTTGTGTCAGCGCACACAACCACGCACCACGCGCTGCCACGTGATCCATCACTGTCAGCGCGCGTCACCACTATACCACGCGATGTAGCCACACCCGGCGCGCTCACACACGCGCCCCCCTTGTCAGCGCGTACCGCTACTACACATATAAAATAAGATAAACACCTATAAAGGCCGGCACAGACTCACACTCGGCTGTCTTTAACTCCCCAGTGCTTATGTTCACATGCAATGCACCAGTTACTCATTAAAGGTTGAGTCGTCCGAAGCGCTTCCCAAGGACCGGTTCAGATATCACTCGTCAATGAGGTTAGCCATGGCCAGGATTTAAACTCAGGCCGTCAGATTCATTGCGCATGGGTGGGTGGGTGAGTCAGAGTATGAAACAGTGGGTGAATGAAGAGTGAGTGGGTAAATGGGTGAATGGGTAAGTATATGGGTGGGAAACAATGAGCTAGTGAGTGTGTGAGTGAGGGCATGGGTGTATGCCTGTATGTATATATGTGTGCGTGTGTTTGTGTTGGGAGCGGTAGGGTAGCGGTTAGTGGGCAGTGGTAGGGTAGCGGTAAGCATGCTGCACTACCTGGTGAAGTGTGTAATCGTCGCCACTGGGGAGATAAAGCCACCCATCCCCTCGTGGGACGTTCCGGTTTTCATAGGTGTTCGCTAACAACACTTGCCCCAACAGTCTGTTAAGGCTATACGGGAGATCTTTGTCTTTGTTATTATGTGTGAGCATTTAAATGCGCGCGAGTATGGGTGAGTGTGTGTGAACGAGTGGCTAGGTGAGTGGGTGAGTGATTGAGTGCACACACTGAATGTGTGTGTACGTGTACGTTTACCTGCCAAGTCGCTGAGCCATGGGCCCCGCGAGAATGGCCCCCGCGAGTCCCCCCACGGCGAACACGGACGCAATGATGGACCAGATCAGTGTGAGCACGGAACTGCTCACGGGGTGCCCATAGCGCGACTCCCACGTGCTGTTAATGAAACCCTGCACCACCTGCGACACCCACATACACAGCTGTGTGTTATGAGGCGTCATTACTAAGCAGCCATGCTCAAGCCACTGCTGGATGAATGCATCCGCCAAGCCACCCGCCATGTATTATAATCCGCAGATGCAGCAATCCGTATAATACCAGCACGTGATTTCATCACTCCATCTCCACACTACATGTACTTTGGATGCGTTCCATTCCTTGGCTACGACTCCGTGATAATTATTGACCATCGTCCATAATCCCTTCTATATGTAATGCGAGCAAGGATTGAGGGGGGGCGGAGTTTGGGTCACGTGGGGAGTGGGTGGAGTTAGGGTCACGTGGGAGAGAGGATTTAGGGAGAGAACCGGAAGGGGAAGGGGGAGTTGAGACGGAGTGAAACAGGAGGAGGCCACGCTGGGCAGGACGGAGAGAGTGGCGCGGTCGCCACGCAGTGGGAGACGTCGACATCGTTAGCCATCGGTGTCAGACGCAGAGAGCTAGCGGCTGTGGGAGGCTAGCTGTATATGGGGCAGCAGTGAAGCTAGAGAGCGGAGCAGCGGTGTGGCTGCAAGGCGGAGCAGCAGGGAGACTGCCTAACAGAGCAGCAGGGAGACTGCATATCGGAGCAGCCGAGGGGCTGTGGAGAGGTCGTCGAGAGGAACGCGGGTCTGAGCGAGGACGCCGTGGTATCGAGATTCTACGAACCCAATAAAGAACAACGGAGATCGACATCTGAGAGAGAGTCCTTTATTACATATATATGACGTCTCCTGCCTAAGCCCCGCTCCCCTAGCAGGATATATAATGTCGTTAAACTGTGCTGGTAATCTATGTGTTGCTCTTTGCATCTCTCAATGTAATTGTAAGGGTGCATCTCCTGCACACTTCTATGTATGTGAACTATACGATTATAATTCTAGATTTGAAGCTTTCGTGACTACAAGGATTCATATTCTTAGGTTTTTTCGGTAAAGTCACGTAGGTAAAACATCAAAATTAATAAAAAATAAAATAAAACAAAAATCACGACGTTTCGGAGGCAACACAAGTCTCCGTCATCATGTGGGACCGTCACAGCCGGATTAGCTGCATCAAGGGTTATACACACAAACGATTATACACACAAACTAAACTCGGGATCACGATAACCGTTCTAAACATGATCTAATATGACCGAAGCTTTTGTGTAAAGTTGTGTTTCTGTTAGGGACTCACCATACACAAAAGACATTGACATTTTTTTGTTAGTTCCTTTTGTTGTTCAACATGAGAATTCAAGAGGCCAGGATGAGTCTCATTTGCAATAATGGCCCGGAACATTAGTCTTCCCTTAGGGGACCAACGATTGTTGCTGCTGTTTATACACCTGTAACGTCCTTGAAGGAGACTTCTTAGAGGCCACACGCTTTTATTCACCAATACTTACTACACCTAACACAAGGGGTATACGGTCCCCTTACCCGTTATCCTGAGGAGCTACAGACTCCGGACTTGCCGGCTATCTCCCCCGCTAGCCTAGCATCCTCCGGCTGGGGCCTAGGGGAGGCACACTGACCCGCCGCTGGTCCGGCGGGTCCCCGTCCTCTGGTCGCTCGAGACCTTCGCCCTCACAAGGGCAGGAAGGCTGGGAGCCAGGATCCTATCCAGGACCTATCTCCCCTGACCACTGGTTACACTGAGCCCCAGCCCTGACAAGGGCTGGAAGGCTTGGTCCAGGGTCTTCAGTCGACTTGGGTCTTCGTGTAGCAGAACTAACCAAGAGCTCTCAGCAGCTCCGGCTTTTATACCTATTCGTGGCCGGGTTAACCAATCCCCGGCCACCTCTTGGACCCCTCCGATTGGTCCTTCCCAATCTGGCGTTTGGATCCTACCTCACCCCCCATTTGACCCTAACTGTTTGATTGAGCGGGAAAACCTTGTTTACCAACTGCTCTCTCACAGCTTGCGAACAGCGAGTAGTTATCACCACTACACACCCAATTAAGTAATTTGTGGTGTAATTTTTTTAATTTGGCTAAATTTGACCCCTGATGCCTGGCAGACAATGTCCTAATCTTGTGAATGACGCCGCAGAATATTTAACATCCACGGCAAGTGAAGCAATGGCAACATATACACTATTATTAATAATCAGGGATATTGCTGGATTCGAACCGTGAACGTCTTCAACGCACCGCTGAGGCTGCGTCATTGATTAAAGGCGTTATTGCCCGAAACGAAATACGCACCTTGGTGGGGACGTTGATGAGGGAGAGGTTGAGCCCGTACTGGAAGCTGCCACCGAGCCCCGCAGCGACTGCCATGAGCAGGAGGCGGGGAGATGGAGTCTGGGCCATCGCCATTCAACCACACATGGGGAGGAGTAACCACGGCAGGTCAGAGGTCAAGGTGTAGCCCTGTGGGGTAAGTGGTGGCTCACGCCATTGTGTGACTACCACCGTCTTGAAGTTTCTGATGGTGGTGGTCATACTGATGATACTGATGATGATACTAATAATGCTGATGATCCGGATGATTCATAAGAGTTTTTTTGGGTTAGATTGCGAAAATATGTACTGTTAAACCCGCCATTACCCAACACAGCCAATTACTAAGTTTGTTACATAAACAAAACATGCAAATTAGTTACTTGTTCAGCACGCCAGTGTGTTATAGAGTAAACCCACAATATTTATAATTCGAGTTCGACGTTTTGCCGGTAATTGCAACTATCCTCATCAGGCAATAGCCAGAATGTGGAAAATTCCTCCTGTTTCAATCTTAAATAGAAGGGGTGAATTGGATAACGTCACTTGTGAGCCAATCAGGTGTGAAGACCAGAGGGGGATTAATGTAGCCATATCATTACCCGTTGCTTCGGAGTTTGCGTATTTGGCTCCATCGCTGCTGATAATGCTGACGATCACTATGAAGATTCCTCTACCTATATCAAACACACGGGGTGGAGTGTTGACACAATGGTTAGTGCACTGCGCCATGGACTGCAACGAAAACAACAACGGAGGGCAGGAGAAGCGACGCTCCCAAAAACGAGCGAAGTGCCATGCGGATACAAATCAGCGAGGTGGCACAGTGGGGGCCTAGATGGTGTAAATCTGTAATCTCAGCCAGTCAATCCACACATAACACCCGATGTCTGTCCCGTGACTTTTTCACACTTCATGTGATGGCCTCAAAGTGTACCTAGCCTGGCATAGGTGTTGTGGTGACATTACCACCACTGTTACCACTTCGTAGCGAATTTGTGTCTTTTGTCTTTGTTACATATTAGACAGAGAACAGTGTGGATCACGCCCCTCCCCCCGTAAGCATTTAACAGAATGTTGGGGCAAGTGCTGTTAGCGAGCACCTATGAAGGCTGGAACACCATACGAGGTGGTAAGTGCATGACAGTGGTAAGTGCGTTGCACTACGAACCCAGTGACCAGACTAATTAACAGTTGCGAGTATTTGAATCGGCCCTGGACCACCTCACCTAAGTGAATGCAGCTCTATTGCCTGGTGCTGTGTGTAAACATCAGCACTTGCGAGACAACAGTAGCCGGGAGTGGTGCTAGCCACCACCTCATGTGCCGTACCGCAGGGGTCTCCAACCTCCTGGCCGCGGACCGGTGCCGGTCTGTGTCCTGTTAGGAACCGGGCCACACAGCAGGAGGTGAGCGGTGAGTCCGCGTGTGGGCCGCCCATTATTTTATTTACCACTTTCTATCCGCGCCTCTTTCCCGCACTGCACACTTGTCTCAGTCACAGTTTTGGTAAGCCCACAAGCTAACCCTAGCCAAAATAAGTAAAAAAACAAACGTCGCTGGAGAGCTTCTTTGAAAAGGGGGAAAGACCCAATGATGACCCCCCCCGGTCCGTGAAAAAATTGTCTTCCACGAAACCGGTCCCTGGTGCAACATTTTTGGGGGCCGCTGCCGTACCTGACTTCATAGGTGCTCGCTAATAGCACTTGCCCAAACAGTCTGTTGAAGGCTATTTGGGGGATCTCGGTCTTAGTATGTGTGAGTGTGTGAAGGTCTCACAGTGCCCATGGATATAACACCACGTACTTCTAGTCATAACAATGATTAACGCATCAATGTATTACCGGTAACTTGGCAGTCATTGATTTTCACCATTCATTAGCCAATAAAATCGTTTGCACAAATGGCGCAACTCACAGCCCCTGTGTTAATTCATTGCTGGATGGATGAAGGACTAATTTGTTCGACCATACTTTGCCGTGCTGATCAGTGCAGATAAAAGGTGAAGGAGGCGTGGCGTTTCAATTTAAGATATAATTCCCAACTCATGTTAGCCGTTTGCGTGTGTGCATGAGTCGAGAATTGAAATCGTGTTTATTAACGACTTCGCCATCATTCGCAAAAAGACAAATACTCCCGCTATGGCCTTAATTGACTGTTGAGACGAGTACTTTTAGAGGGCACCAGTCTGGAATGGCACCCGAGGGGGTGGGTGGCCAGAATCACGCCAAGCCATCTTTATCTCCCCAACCCTGATGTTTTACACACAGCACCGGGTATTACACTGTGTAGCAAAAAATAAAATGTTACACAGTGTAATAAAAAATCATGTTCCTGGGTAGTAAGTGTTATTTTCCAATTGATTATGCCTCAAAAGTACAGAAAATGGCTATTATTCCCCACAAACTTTGCTTTTGTGACCAGGACACAAAAGCAAAGTTAATAATAAACTCCATTAATAACACTATGTAACAAATTTATTATTTTTTTATTCCTGGGTAGTAAGTGTTATTTCAAATAGCTTATGCCTCAAAAGTACAGAAAATCTTCTTGGTTCTTTCGGTAAAGTCACGTAGAAGGGAAGTAATACAATAATAGAAATAAAACATAATAAAATAATTCTCACGACGTTTCGGCCACAACGCAAGCAGCCGTCCTCAGGTGAAAACCAGGTCTGTCGAGGCGACAGCGTCTGAATGAAACAGCACCATGCTTGGAGCATATATTTAAGCTGGGTTGGAAGGGGGGGGAAAGGGCGCCTTGACCAAAGAATTTGCATATCAAGAGGAATTCAGCATATTTATGGGAAATGCAGGTATGTGATTAGTACTACTTATGCCCGTGCATTATGCAGGATTAGCAGCATCAAAGGGAGGGGATATGGGAATGCAGCTATGTGATTAGTACTACTTATGCCCGTGCATTATGCAGGATTAGCAGCATCAAAGGGAGGGGATAGGGGTAGCATTAATAAAGGGAAGGAGTGTTAATAGTATGTAGCTGCAGTAACTAAAACCACCACGTAAAAAGTATAAACTACATAGTATCATCAGTATACTAAATATACTCTACAATAAGCAGAGTTATTAACAGTAAGTAATACATTGCAATTCTACGTCGTAAAAAATATATGCTTCCATCTAAACTTTATTTTCTTATATCACACGAGTCTACACCGTACTATATACTGCCATAGACAAACCCAACATTAAATTATATACTGTATTGCTATAAACCACACTATACCTTATACATTGTAATATTACACTATGTATGATTGTACCCACCCTAATGTATATCACACTGCTGTATATTCACTATACAATTATGATACTATATATTACTTTGTACATTGTATTAATCATATAAATTTGATACTATTTGTTATTATACACTGTACCATTGACCGTCGTGTGAAAGACACTAAGAGGAAGCAACGAAATATGTCAATGGGAGAATAGGGAGAGGAAACTTGCAGCGGAGAAAATAATCCATTCCCTGCGGATAATACAATGCCAGTGAGCGGAACGCGGTCTGAAAGTCACCGTAAACGTGAACACAATCAGTTAAGATCCGTAATGGTTTATTACGTCCTTTCAATGATTGCTAAGCCAGAATCCATCTTCTCGGTTGAAGTTGTCTCTGTGTTTGTATATGTGGATCATCTCGTGAACGAATCTCTCATGGTAGCCAGATGGCTTGCAGAGAACCTCTGTCTTGGAGAAGTCAATATCATGTGAGCCCACTGATCACTGTTAGTGTAGTGACATAGAACGGTCACTACTGTGTCGGCCCGTACGAGGGCTGGGGGCCCCAAGGGGGTGCCTGGGGGGTCACGTGGTGGAGGGATCCGGACCTTCCCAGAGGTGGGGGAAGTGAGGCGTGTCCTGGGAAGGGAGGCGTGGCCTGGAGAGAGCCAGCCACGCCTGGGCGGAGCCGGCCACGCCAAAGCAGATATAAGCGTGGTGTGAACGCAGAGCGAGGCTGTTGTACTGTACTCCGAAGTGAAGACATCATCGGTCGTTAAGTCCCGGGTCGTCGTCCTGGGCCAGGCAGGCCGTTGCCTGCCTGGTCCAGTCTGTGTCGTGTTCCAGAGTGTTAGTGAGTTGAGGAAGGTGGTCACCACCTTATGTACAGTGTTATATTACTTACCGTTTAATAAATAGTGTTGCCTCCAAGCTGCGTGTGTGTGCACCTAATTCGAACCCACTACATTTGGTGTCTCTGTCACACACACACCCTCACACTGCGTCTCACGCACACACACTCTCACACTGTGTCTCTGTCACCCATACACTCTCACACTGTCTCACGCACACTCACACTCTGTCTCACGCACACACTCTCACACTGTGTCTCTGTCACCCATACACTCTCACACTTTGTCCCACGCACACACACACACTCTCACACTGTGTCTCACGCACACACACACTCTCACACGTGTCTCTATCACACACTCTCACACACTGTCTCTCTGTCACACACACACTCTCACACTGTGTCTCACGCACACCCACACACACACTCTCATACTCTGTCTCACACACACACTTTAACACCGTGTATCTGTCACACACACACTCTAACACCGTCTCTCTGTCACACACACACTCTCACACTCTGTCTCACGCACACACTCACACTCTGTTTCACGCACACACACACACACTCTCACACTCTGTCTTACACACACACACACTCTAACACCGTGTATCACACACACACTCTCCCATGTTGTGTCTCACGCACGCCCATCACACTCACACTCTGTCTCACGCACACACACTCTCACACCGTGTCTCTGTCACACACTCTCACACTGTATCTCATGCACTCCCACACACTCTCACACTGTGTCTCACGCACACACACACTCTTACACGTGTCTCTATCACACACTCTCACACACTGTCTCTCTGTCACACACACACTCTCATACTGTGTCTCACGCACACCCACACACACACTCTCACACTCTGTCTCACACACACACTTTAACACCGTGTATCTGTCACACACACACTCTCACACCGTGTCTCTGTCACACACTCTCACACTGTGTCTCACGCACACCCACACACTCTAACACCGTGTATCACACACACACACTCACACCGTGTCTCTGTCACACACTCTAACACCGTGTATCACACACACACTCTAACACCGTGTCTCTGTCTCACACTTTCCCACGCTGTGTCGCAAACCTGATTGTGTCCATGTTGCTCTATGTTTAGCCATGGCATGGAGGTGACCGCTGCAGCCACCACGGCACACACAGAAGAGCAGCAGCAGCGATTGCGGTTCCGCACTGAGTCCCATGACTCCCTTACCTCCTGTGCAGCCTCAACTCCTCACTCGCACACTCGGCTCGCGCAGCTGCTGCCAGTGCACTCTGAAGGCCACGGGAGCGAGGCGATGTAGCCCCCATATTAGGAAGTTGGCCATCAGTTAACGCCACACACACCCACGCCAGCCCTGGCTGGGCTTGCAATAGCAGAGGTCGCTGATTCGATTCGATCTCCCTGTGGCCGTTGAAAGTGATGCAAATGTATTAAATCGCTCCCCACGCCGCTTTTTCTCTCTATCCACCCATCAGTATCAATGGGTTACCACCACGGCCGTTCGGTTGCGGGAGCAAAGCAATTTCAGGGCTCATGTGGCATTGTTACGCGATGTATAGGGGCCCAGTCAGTCACAAGGGGGCCCCCAATCAACAGATAAACAAGTAAAACACGTACAATTTTTTTTTCATTTTTTATTCATTAAAATTACTTGCGTTCTACCATGATCAAGCCAGATTTAAACGCATCCTGGCTGTCATATCAATGGCGCCGTCCATAAATGACGTCACGCACCTAGGGTGAGGGGTCAGACATTTATGACGATGTGTGACGAGGGGGGGGGGTGATAAATGTAACGTCACATCAAAATGCATAACTTTAAATAAATATAAACAACACGTTCTACTTAATTAAATAGACTTTTAAATAAATGTTTTCTCCGACAACATCAGTACAGCGCCACATTAAATACGCGCTACAATGGCAATAGTTTAAAGCGATTTGAAGCATGTTTTATTTGGGGGGGGGCAGAGCATTGTGACGTCATATTTGAGGGGGTGGTTGACTTTTTGTGACGCCTTGTGACGAAGGGGGGGGGGGTCAAAAATCATCCAAAATCGCTTGATGTCATTTATGGACGGCCCCATAGAGTTGCGCGATCCACCCCCTTTGATGAAATCCTAAACCGATGGGGCCGGAATGAAATCAAGACGCACGGTAACTTAATTGTGAGTATTGTTACCTGTACATATGTCGTGAGTTCAACTGAGTCGCAGACGTATACTTGAAGGCAACACATTTATTTAACACCAACACACCGATGGTGGTGACCACCAGGCTAACTACACTAATTACAACGTAACTGGTGTAGTTAACCGGGTGGTGACCACCAGGCTAACTACACTAATCACAACAACCCTTGCTAGCTAGGCACATTAATGGTCAGGCTCAGCAGTCCCCCACAGGGATGCACGCTGTCTGTTCCGCTTCTCCCTCTATCAACCCCGGCCCAGAGCTTGCGCAAGCTCTGCAGGAAACTGTGAAACTCTCCGATGCGCGATACAAAAACACGGGCGGTTGGAAGTGTGGCCATGAGATTCGACAATCCCCCGACATGACTGCAACTCTCACCATCATCAAAGACAAATATCTCTCCTATAGCCTGAACAGACTGTTGTGACAAGCGCTTTTGGTGAGCACTGATGAAGGCCAGCATGACACACGAGGGGGTGGGTGGCCAGCACCACGCCCGGGCCGCCTTTGTCTCCCCAGTGACGATGTTTACACACCACACCAGATACTCATTTTAGGCTCAAGCGACCTAGGAGACTCAGGATCAGTTGAGATGATAGTCACTGGTGTTAGCCATGAGCAGGAATCGAACTCGAGTCACTGCACTTACTGCGACACCACCGCTCCCCACCACCACCATCACTATCAGCCATGGCATATCCACTGCAGCAGTGGACAGGCCATGGCTGACGGTGCGTAACACAATCCCGGATGGTCCATTACTGCTATTAACCAATTTAACTGGATTGTAATAAGGTGCTCCGGATAGTAAAACACCTCTACTGGATGATAATGAGACGCCCAATGAGGTTATACTTGTGTAGTGGGTTCAACTGAGTCACAGACGCACACTTGGAGGCAACACATTTATTAATACCAACACACGGGGTAACTGCCCCTTAACAGAATAACAACCGATGGTGGTGACCACCAGGCTAACTACACTAATTACGAGCTACTACGGACTGGACCACAGCTCGGGTCCAGGTCCACGTGTTGGAGACTCGGTAGAACGTAGACGAAGGTTTCTTCAGGATGAAAAACAGCAGCCGGTCCCTCTGGGGAACTCGGCTTATATTCTCTGCGGCGTGGCTGGCTCTGCCACCGGCCACGACAACCTTCCAGAACCAGTGGCGGCTCCTGCAAAATCTCTCAGGGGGGGCAAATTAACAGCTTAAGCATGTAAAGGCAACTTCACTTCTTTAATATTAATGAAAAATAAAGTGACTCTTACAATACATCTTGTTTGTTTCTATACTCACTATTATTACAATCCACTCAGTTTATTTTATTAAAGATTCCACTAGGTGGCGACAAATAATATTGTTGACTGAAACGTGCTTACGTGTGATGACGTAAGCACGTTAGTGCGAGCCCTCCCGGAAGCCATAGAGAATGCATTGGAGCGCCCGCCGTTCGAAAAAAAACATCTTTGAATGTAAGTCTATGGGAACATTCTGGGCGATTCTCAGCCAGAGTGAAATCGCCCAAAAAGAGGCGGTACTCCACAGAACGTGACATGACGCTGATTGGACTATATCCAGAGGCACAGTAACGGCGAGCGTAACTCTGTGGTTGAATGACATTGGTGGTGCGTCGCCCAATCGCCCTAATGAAGAAACCGCCCCTGTCCAGAACCCTCTAGCAGGATCTCGACCCAGACCACGTGACCTCTTTTAAATGCGCATACACAGTGACATCCCGCGATGTCACTTCACTTGATAGCCTAAACAACAGTGGCTAGGTGCCACGTGTAGCAATTCCTTATTCGGTGTCACTGACATTGAGACAGACCTGACTGTGGTTACCCCTGGTGTTAGTTGTTGCCTGGAATAGATTTCAGCACGCCCGGATTTCATAGCACAGTTCGCTTATACCATTGCACCCCCACTAGTGATTTACACACAATACAAAGATCCCCCGTATAGTCTTAATAGACTGTTGGGAAAAGTGCTGCTAACGAGCAGTATTTATGAAAGCGGACGCGGCACACCAAATGGGTGGGTGACCAGGGGCGGTTTCTTCATTAGGGCGATTGGGCGACGCACCACCAATGTCATTCAACCACAGAGTCACGCTTGCCGTCACTGTGCCTCTGGATATAGTCCAATCAGCGTCATGTCACGTTCTGTGGAGTACCGCCTCTTTTTGGGCGATTTAACTCCGGCTGAGAATCGCCCCGAGTGGCCCCATAGACTTACATTCAAAGATGTTTTTTTTCGACCGGGGGGCGCTGCAATGCATTTTCTATGGCTTCCGGGAGGGCTCGCCCTAACGTGCTTACGTCATCATACGTAAGCACGTTTCATCCAACAATATAATTTGTCGCCACCTAGTGGAATCTTTAATAAAAGAAACTTGAGTGGATTTTATTAATAGTGAGTATAGAAACAAACAAGATGTATTGTAAGAGTCACTTTATTTTTCATTAATATTAAAGAAGTGAAGTTGCCTTTACATGCATAAGCTGTTAATTTATCCATTGCATGGGTGGACTTTATCCTTATCAATCATCCAGACATTTGCCCCCCCTGAGAGATTTTGCAGGAGCCGCCACTGTGGGTGACCATCACCACACCCGGCCGCCTTTATCTCCCCAGTGCTGATGTTTACACACCACACCAGATACTTATTTGGGGCTGAATCAAGCTAAGGGAGGTCCAGAATCTGTTCGAAATTCATCACTGATGGTAGCCATGAGTGAGAATCGAATTCGGGAAATAATGCAGTGCACCAATTCACTGCGCGACTGCTCTCCCAGCGTCAATAAACAAGGCCAGAGATTCAAGAGTAGCGCAATTAAAATAGGAAATTAGCCATGGGCAGTCGTGATGAGGTTGTTTATTGGAAAACTCATTCATTTATAAAGTGTAATAAATGTCAAATTGTAACGCTGTGCCAACACCATCACATAGGATTCGCTCCTGGCCACCACAGTACAATTTTTCCTCCGACCTGCCACCCGAAGCACTGCGCTGTGTTTGTCACATTGCACAGTGTGTGTCACAGCACTCCGTGTGTGTGACATGTGTCACAGCGCTCCGTGTGTGTGACATGTGTCACAGCGCTCCGTGTGTGTGACATGTGTCATAGCGCTCCGTGTGTGTGACATGTGTCACAGCGCTCCGTGTGTGTGACATGTGTCACAGCGCTCCGTGTGTGTGACATGTGTCACAGCGCTCCGTGTGTGTGACATGTGTCATAGCGCTCCGTGTGTTTGACATGTGTCACAGCACTCCGTGTGTTTGACATGTGTCACAGCACTCCGTGTGTGTGACATGTGTCACAGCGCTCCGTGTGTGTGACATGTGTCACAGCGCTCCGTGTGTGTGACATGTGTCATAGCGCTCCGTGTGTGTGACATGTGTCACAGCACTCCGTGTGTGTGACAAAGGACAGTGTGTGTTTACCACTGCATAATATGTGGCACACTGAACTGTATGTGACACTGCACCGCGTGTGTGTGTCACATTGCACAATATGTGTTTCACATTACTGTGTGTCACACTGTAGGGTTTGTTTGTCACATTGCACAATGAATTATTAATACTGCACTGTCTGTATGTGTATCACACTGCGTCGAGAGTGAGTGACAATGCATAGCCTATGTGCCACTTTGAACAGCGTGTCACAATGCACCCGTGTGTGTTACACTGCACAGTGTCACACTTCGCCGTGTGTGAGTGATACTGCGTCGATTGTGTGACACGTCACCATGTGTGTGATACTACACCGTGTGTGTCACACTGCACCGTGTCTATCTGACACTACACCATAATTGTGTGTCGAACTGCACATTGTATATGACAAACTGCACCGTTTTGTGTAAAACTGCACAGCAGAGTTGTGTGTGTGTCACATTGGACAGGTTGTGTCATACTGCAGAAGCGTGTGTGTATCACACTGCACAGTGTCACAGTCCACATTTTGTGGTTGACACTTTACTATTTTTCACACTGCAGCGTTTTGTGTGTCACATTGTACGGTGGGTTTTGATACTGCACTCTTTGTATATGTGTATCGCACTCTGTCCTGTGTGTGGCACTGAACATTGCATGTGTTGACTTAAAGCTTTCGTGACTGCAGGAATTCATATCCTTTTGGTCTTTCGATAAAGGATGGCAAGCAACCATTC